ATATATATATATATATATATATATATATAATGAAAAGTTGTTGTTCTCTACATTTTCTACATTTTAGTTCTTGTATCACACTTTTCTATTTGCTGCAACCATTATTGATGTGATACATTTTCACAGCCCTTCTGTTACATTTTAGTGTCATAACAGTCAATGCTACAAAAAATAAAGATAGAACTAAGTCCACTCATAGATAATATGTATGATAATACACTAAAAACTATTATAATTATTAATTCAAAATTATTTATTCTTCCCAAAGGAATTAAAAGTCTTAAGGAAACATATCATATTTGGTTTCTCCAAATGAAGCTGTAGGGAGGATCACACTTCAGCAGTGTATCAGATTGTCTCATTTTGCTTTCTGCAACAGGTCCTATGATGCTTTTATAAACTTATAAATAGCTGAATCTCTTCTGTTTTGTGCCAGAAGAAATTTGTAGCGCATCACATGTATATCTCCATGACCCATGCACAAAGAACCAGTCTGTTATCGCATGTTTGGTTGATGGAGGGATTGTGTGTAACAAGGACACGTGTGCCTCAACTTTGCATCCGCAGGTGATAAACATCATCAATGCAGCCCAGGAGAGCAGTCCGGTGACAGTAGCCGAGGCTCTGGAGCGTGTGCTGGAGATCCTGAGGACCACGGAGCTCTACTCCCCTCAGCTTGCTTCCAAAGAGGATGACCCTCACACCAATGATCTGGTTGGGGGGCTTATGAGTGTAAGGAGCAGCCGGCTTGTTTCCTTTCTTAGCTTTTAAAGCAATATATTTAATACAGAGATTTGCTAAAATCTCTATATTTTAGGAATTTCTTTGCGTTTTTATGACACTACAACAACATTTAGGAAACAGAGCAACACAGAGTAGAGCATAGTTATTAGGGGAAGGGAAAAAATGCATATAGCCTTAAAAAAAGGGTTTTGTTATCAATCGAAATCCCAAGTTTTGAACATAGTAAGATCTGTGATTCAAAATGATCCAGTCAAAGTACCTTGATTCAACCAAAGATGCTCCTCATGCAATTTCACCTGAGCTGTTTTACAGAGATGGTGGAAAATCTTTATTGTTTAAATGTGCAAAGCTAATAAACTCATACCTGGGCTGAATAAAAAAGCGTGCAAAACTTTTCAGAACAATGGGACCAAATCCAATTGGTTCTATTAAAGTTTTTGGTCATCATGTTACATGACACAGTATGAATAGTTTTTGTCTATGCCTAAACACTCAACAACCATTAAAGATCATTTAGGACACTGTTCATGTTCAGGTAAAAGGGGAAAAAAAATTCCCAAATCAAACATTTGAAGAGTCATACAATCATAGTTTGTTTTATTCATTTAGTTTGTGTCATGCTGTGGGTTTAGTTTTAGTTTTACTCCAATTGCATGCTACATTACTGTATCTAAGGCTGCTGTATTGGATGTTGTGGTATAGACCTAGAAATTGAGTTAAAGGAACCTTAAACCAAGCAAAGCTGTACGAGATTGCAGAGTGGCAAAGGGAAGCTGCATGAACAGGGAATAAATAGGGTAGCAAACAAAGGAGGAACAGATAAATGACATTAGGGTGTTGCAGAGCCTGATTGCAGAGGCGAACTTAGGAAGTAAAGTTGCCTAAAATAAAACCAGAAATAAGTATAAAATAAAATTGGAAGTGACTTTGGAGATAATGCAGCATGGATTTGGAGTACCGGTAATAGTCGAAACCAAAACAAAAACTACAGCGTGACTCTTTAGATGCTTTAAAAAACCATCAGTGTTATAGTAGACTGCTAGCGTTGTTTTTCATCTGCATTTTTTATTTAGCCAGTGCTAGGTTGATGAAAAATAAATCGATGGTGAAATGGTTAAGAATAAAGGAAATCGTAACGCTGTTCATTTTTTTCTACTCTTCAGGACGGACTCCGGAGACTCTCTGGCAACGAATATGTTTTCTGCAAAAGTAAGTTTCAGAACGTCACTAAAACACCTGAAAAAATCAAACCCCTACCAGACCACAACATGGCAGCAGTGATGACACAGATTTTCTTACAGGTCTAAAATCCTACAGATTTTAGATTTATTGGTGAAAGAATCATAATCTATTCACGTTTTGTAATCCGTTACATACTTCAGCAAATATCTCTATGTTCTGCTCCAGGATTGAGGTTCTTGTATTGGGGTGCACAAAAGGAGAAATGTCACATTAAACAGTATTCAACTTTGTTTTTATAATATGTAATCATGTGATTCCAATTTATCAATTGAATTTAACAAATATTACTAATCGATTTATTAAAATTCAGTCCTGGTGTTCAATATTATAGAATATTAGAGCTCTCCTGCTCTCCTAGAAACAAAAAGCTGTTCTCTCCCACTGCAAATTAATGCCTTTTTTAACAGTGGCTTTATTTGATGAAATTTGTATTATAAGTAATGTAATGTAAGAAAAAATAATTAGATTACTCAGTTGCTGAAAAGAATAATGTTACTAACAAGATTATTCGCTGAGCTGTTACCTTCAACACTGATCTGAAAGGACAGGTCACACAACAAACTTATTAGCATATGACCAGGAGCACTTTCTATTTCAGACGGGAAGAAAAAAAAAACAAAAAAAAATCATTGACATTGTTCTGTTAAAAATACATCACTAAAGGGACTTCATCACTTTCAAACATGGTTTGAATGTAAAAAAGAAAAGGTGTCATCATAAAGATGTTTATTCATGCCTAAGCTGTTAGGGCAGATCAAATAGACCGGAGTTCTTCAACAGGGGGTCCTTTCAGTCATCAATGGACACATTCAGCGACACACATGAGCTCTTTCAAGCTGGGTACCGTTTCATTCACAACACCTGTCCCATCAACCAGGAATAGGAATCAGAAATACTTTAATAATCCTGGGGCCAAATTACTTTCGTTACATTACTCTATAGTCACTCTATAACATAAGTAATAGTGACTATAGGATCAGTTGGATATAAAATAATTTCAAACAATATATATTAATTGGGGGTCCCCACACTATCCCGCCGTCTGTTTAGGGGTCCTTGGTCTGGAAACCATTGAAGGCCCCTGAAATAGACGAAACAAGGCTGACCTTCAGAACTTTTCTTTGGCAAGATTTTGGACAGGATGTATTTTTGACCTAAGCTCCGTCTGAGTACTCGCATTACATCCGCTTAAAAAAGTGTGTACCTGTCTGACGTGTAGATAAGGGCCTAAGTATGCAGGCTGTGAGAATTAGAACAGGTAGCCTACTACCTGCACCTCTGCATCGTAAAGAAGACATTACAAATGACAACACCGGTCGATCTTTTCCCCTTTTTAATATTAAAACTTATTTAAAAACTTTAATAACAAATCGCTTTGTATTCACACATGTATTTGTTCTTATATTTGTACAAAACAAAGACAACATTTAGTGAATGGAAATTGGAAAAGATACTAAACAGAAATTAACATTAAAAAAGCATCTTTCAGATGCAGAAAGACCCGAGGGCAGGAATTGAACCCAGAACCTTCTTGCTGCAAGGCAGCAGTGCTACCTACTGCGCTACTGTCATTTTTCAAATTTTACAGTTTTAGATCAAATTTTTTAAATGTCATTTTTGATAAAACAATTAAAAAAAAAACATGCTAACATCCATGCAGGTTAATAGGAACATGTCTTCGCTCCTCAGTCCAGAGGAAACCTTGCTTCATTTGGTATGAGTATTGAGACAGGGCTATGTTTAAATAGCAGCGAAAGGATAATATTTCTGGCCAATAAGAAAAAAATCTTCCCAAAATGTCATTAATATCTAGTGTTCAGGGGAGGAGGCATTTGCTCATGGGCACATGCCCTAGAGGCAAGGGGACAGTCATTATTACACTGTCAAACAACCACCCAGAGTCTAGCTTCCCTCTTTTATAGTAAAATGTGAAAACATATGGAATACTTTTTACCACTATCCTATTTTCTGTCTCTTTTCTAGATATGAGCCAGAGTCAGCTGGCCATCCCAGTCACGCTGAGCGATGTTCCTCCATCAATTGCTGAGATGCTAAACGATGAGGAGCGCTGGGAGTTTAACATCCTGGACCTGGAGGCAGCAACGCATAAAAGGTACAACAATACTTTCCCATGAAGGAAACTAGTTTTTATTTAGACAAAACAACCTAAAGCTCATAGACTAAGCACATGCTGCTTACATATTCTGTTTATCACTGCACCATTTAAATATAAGACAAAAGAAACTGAAATCTAATGCAGTCAGTTTTCACCCTCTGAAATGGTGTTTGCTTTGTTGTTTGCTCCCCTACAGACCGCTCACTTATCTCGGGTTAAAGATTTTTACCAGCTTTGGAGTGTGTGAGTTCCTAAACTGCTCAGAGGCCACGCTGCGCTCCTGGCTGCAGCTCATGGAGGCCAATTATCACTCTTCCAACTCCTACCACAACTCCACACACGCTGCAGATGTCCTGCATGCTACCGCCTACTTCCTGCGGAAGGAGAGAGTCAAAGTAAGGACTTTTAGTGAATGAGCAGCTTGATTTTTAAAGAAAAGCTTCAAACCAAACCTGTGACTTCACCTCAAAGAAACCTCTGTTGCTTCAAATACCACCTTAAGGGCCTCTTTACTCCTTGCTTACTTCCTTAAGACACCAAAGGCCTACATGTTCATTCTTAAGACACTTCTTTCTTGCCAGGGTCTCTCACTAGTTCAGTATCATTTACCATCTTCGTCTAGTCTCACGCTGGCCTCTGTTAGCCTCATGAATTCATCCTATTAGGAAACAATAAACTCTAAGGAGAACTAAACTTCTTGGAGACCACAGAGACCAGCACCAGGTCTGGCCTTTTGTGTTGTTGTGGCGGGAACAGTTTCTGGGAACTGAAATGTATTCCCTGGGTAAATTGCAGCAGATGAGGATGGTCCTAGCAGATGATTTTAGTTTCCCTGTGGTCCCAACAAGGTTGAGAAAAGCAGAGCTGTTCTCTATTTTCTCTATTTTGGCTCTATTAACACAAGTAGCAGTAGGTGACGTGACACTACAAAATATCCATGGTGATAGATTCATAGCAAAGTGGGTTTGACCCAAACATTAAATAGAGCATTATCCAACACTGAAAGGAAAACGTTAGTTGTAGTATCTATTTACATCCCCTTAGTCAATGCTATGTTTCTGGTTGTTTTTCTCCTGCAAGAGGAAACATCCAGCCCACTCACTCTTTGGCCTCTGAGGGGTTGAGTTCCATTAATTCATTCATCAACTCAAACCAGATTCCTTCTGCCTGATAAAGTCAGAATCAGAGACTTTATTGATCCCATGAATGGTAATTTATTTCAGCGACTTGGCCAGAGCTACAGCAGTTCACGCAGTTCAGAAATACAAACAAGACAGTTAATTCAGGTTAAAAAAACTGAATGGATTTAGAAAATTGATTGGTTTTGATTAAAAGCATGTAATAATGCCGACTTGAGGGCATTAAACTCAAACGCCTTAATTCAATTCTATGATCTGAACAGCCTTCTTAGTGATGCTTTCCCCCCCAGAGTGAGGCCAGATCTCTTTGATAAACGGTTCTACATTGCACAATGCTGCCACCAACATGTTTCACCATTAGCTTGTTTGGTTATCATCGCTGTCTCACCGTCTTAAATATTTGCCCTGATTTATGTATAACATCAGTTGCACTCTAGTTTATCTAGGGATATCAGATGAAAAAGGAGTAACGGAGTAATGCATCTTATACTTGTTTCACAGTTATATGCTATATTATATTCTGTCATATAAGTTTCAATACACAAAATTGAACCTTGTGTCTGTAATATGATAAGAAGTGTGTCTGAATTTACAAGATGCCCCAGGGCCGCAGCTTATTATAGTAATTTATTTATGTATCAGATATTTTTTGGCTTAATCAGCTAATCTAAAAATAGAAACTTTGAGGAATCAACATTCCTTTTTTACGAACCCAGGTCAGCCACGTCGAAGACCAGGGCCTCCGCACATGGGTCATTTCTGGCCAACCAATGCGCAATCTACACACCCAGGAATCAACATTCCTGGATAAAAAAAATAAAATTCAGACTTAAAAAAAAGTTATAGTACATAGGTTGTAAAAAACATTCCGTGTTCACAACAAACATACAGACGTTTGCATTAAGACCTGATAAATGATAAACAATTTGGGTCTGAGAGCTTAAATCCTCGTTATTAACTCCTTCGGCCAATGGCGTATTGACACAACAATAGGCCTGTAAACAACATTATCTGGGTGGGCCCCATGAAGTACAACACGTGATAAAGGTTCAGGATACAGCAGCAGTTCCATAAATTGACCAAGAAGATAAATTTATGCAATTCTCAGTAGTATATGATCACACATCACACACAGAAAAATAGTGAATGCGCATCTTGAATGGAACCATTGGTGACAGGCAGAGCACCACCTCATGTTAAAGACATTCAAAGTGCTTATCGAATCCTTATCCATCGTCGCTAACACATTGTACGTAACGATTGTTTTAATCCACGCTCTGAGTTACCCATAATTCCAAGTCATAGTGTAAAAAATAAAATACTGAAATACATTGTCCCTTTAAGATCTTTATTGCGGTTTGAAACATTATATGAGATTATTTTTTACCAACTATCTAATGAACTTATACATAGTTATTAACATAGTAATTAAAAGTACCACTGTCTGCTTTGCTATTGGTGTCGTGTTTAAACGGCTCACCATCATGTTGAAATCTGGCATGTGTCGGGGTATAAATACTGTCCGGTCCAGTGAGTCGCTTCATTATCAGGTGGGTTTAAGAGGAATTTTTCGCAACATTACATCTGCAATGAGACGTCCTAGTCTACAATTGCATAGGTAGCCTACCAGGTGTCAGTGACGGGGCCCCTAAGCAACTGCTGTCTCTGCTTAGCAATATTTACTCCATTGCCTTCAGCCCCTATCTGCTATCAGGGTTAAATGTGTCAGCCTTTTGCAGCCCCCTCAGTCGGCTGTTAAAATTTTGATGGTTTTAGAATCTGAATATTCCAGTTAATGATTCAATTTGACAACCAAAGTAGTCAACTATTTCAGTTAACAAGTAATCATGAGCGATCTGATTGTTTCAATGCTTTAATACACAACACCATGAAAAGCAAAATGCAAAATAACAATGTTTTTAGCCCTAAAATCATATTTAACAATGTTTTTTTTTATGTGTTTTAAATATCAGTAGGCTATGCGAGGGTTAAAGAAAATTAAATACTTCCTGCAACAATCCAATGTACTCTGTTTCTTAAGTTTGAAGACGTTTAGCTTCCCAACCAGGAAGCTTTCAATTCAAAATGTCAGAAATGGTGTGAGTTGGAGGGTTTATAGAGTGGACCAAAAACAGAGCCTTGTTTTGGCTGAGAAAACATGCAAATTGAATTGGATGAACGTGTCTGCCCCTTTGAAATGGGGGGTCATTTGGGTTCGTTGTTAGCCTGCAATACGCAATACCTGTCTATGTCTCTGAAAGGGGGGTCGTTAGAGGGAATTGTAGGCCTGGCTAAACAGGCGAGGTGCTCTGTTCCCTTGTAAGGGGGTGGGGGTTGTGATGATAGCAGGAAGGAATCAACTCTATCGCTGTTTACGTCTGTTTAAGGTTGGTTTTTCCTTTCTTACCATAGAATGCTTCCTTTTTTTTTTTTTTTTATAAAAACAACAAAAAGACGTCTAAGATGCAACATTACTCTAGCTAATGTTCCCTTCACATAACCTATACTGATAAAGCTGGGAAAAAGGAACACCCAACCAGAAACGACATCTGTTCATAGATGGAGGAAGACTTTGCATGTTTATAAAGCTATGTATATATTTCTGCAGTCCATCACTGACATCTGTTTCATCTTTGCCATCTCTCCAGAACAGTCTTGACCAGCTGGACGAGGTGGCAGCACTGATAGCAGCCACAGTCCACGACGTGGACCACCCGGGCAGGACCAACTCCTTCCTGTGTAACGCAGGCAGCGAACTGGCCATCCTTTACAACGACACAGCCGTGCTGGAAAGCCACCATGCGGCCCTTGCCTTCCAGCTCACCATCCGTGACAGCAAAAGTAACATCTTTAAAAGCATTGACAGGTCAGTTGGTGCTGACATCCGAGGTTTTCTCTGCAGTAATTTCTAAGAAAGGCAATAGTTCCAAACCAGAAGAAACGACTGCAGTGATTGGTTGGTTATCCTGGATTTGGCACCAATGATAAAAAAAAATAATAACAATCTTGAGGGATTTTATTAGACTATAAGCCTTAATTCACAGTCAAACCCTGAACAGCTGCGTAAGGAAAAAAGCATCAGTATATTTAGAGAAGACTGGAATACAAATATCCTTGCTTGTCCTTCAGAGAGAAAATGTATTTGTATTAACAGCAAGAACTAACAAGCAATTCAAGCTTTCAAAAAGAAACAAAACTAAGGAAACAGACTGTACAGTCAAGGTAAATTTACACCATATGAGAAGATACAATTAAAAAAAAAAGCATAGAAATGATAATAATGTATTTTATTTCACTCAGAACTGTGAGGCTCAGATATTTTACAACAAAGACCAACAAACAATAGAATGTGCAGGTGAAGATTCTCTGTCATCCAGGTCATAGTCATTCCAAAAAAGTTATAAAACAATCCAATGGATTTCGTTTCCACGTTTAAAGATGTTTCGTTTCCCATCCAAGAAGCTTTTTAAATTCAAAATGTCAGAAATAGTGTTAAGTTTGAGGTTTCATAGAGTGGACCAAATACAAAGCCTTTGTTTTGGCTTAGAAAATATAGAAATTGAATTCCCTTTGGGAATGGGCAGTCTTTTGGGTTCTTTGTTAGTCTGCAATACCCAATACTGGTCTACGCCTCTGAAAGGGGTTTTTTAGGGGGAATTGTAGGCCTGGCTGTACAGTCGATGTGTTCTGTTCCCCTGAATAGGGAGTCCAGGGTAAATTATGCTGTATATGCAACTGACTGGGATAATGAAACTTTTGCATGTACTCTACAGTTAAGGTCCCGCCGTCCCCTCAATTATGTTATAAAGCACCACCTAATATGGCCCTTCTGAGGCTGAGTGTAGCTAGAAATATTATCTGGTAGCACATAACAAACAAACATGTCCTCGTCATGCTAATACAAATAAACACTTGAATCATCTTTTTTTATGGTCCTATTTAAGTGACATATATGCTAGCCTTCAGCTGTCAATAGAATAACATTGTGTATCTATGAATGAATGGTGAGAAGAAAAGGAGGACCGGGTCAAGGGTTCACATCTAAAGAGATCATTTCTAAACTTAATGGCCTAGATGCAGTATGAGTGATAGAAAAAAAAAACGCTCACCTTTGTGGTTTTAATTTAGCAAAATGTGGAAAAATTGAAAGCTAAATAATTTCTCAATTAGCTATATAATAGATGGAACTATCTCTCATTTTGTCCTTTTAATCTGCATTTAAGGAATCAGTTCCGAACGCTGCGACAGGCCATCATTGACATGGTTCTCGCCACAGAGATGACCAGGCACTTTGAGCACGTCAGCAAGTTCGTCAACAGCATCAACAAGCCAATGGCAGCCATTGATGAAACCAGCACAAGTGTAAGTCTTAGTAGATATCATTTTCTGTCACAGTGGGGAGGTTTCTTGAAGTTTAATTAACCAAACGTTCAATAAAAGCAAAAATCCAAAACATAAATCCACAAAAATACTCAAAACCAAGAATACTCACAACCAGAAGGGGATAACGTAATGACAACAAACCAGCAAAGACTGACTGAACAGGAGGAGATTATATGGGAAAGAGAATTATTATGTTTTAAATTAAGGTCTTAATAGGCATTACAATTTCTTAATTGTGATTATCCTGGCATTAAATTGCTTTATTTTAGTCAGATATATCAGATATAATATGTTCTGCGTGTGTGGAACTGCTTCTGGTTGATCGTAAAGTCGTATGTTCGGAAAAGAACCTTGAGACGGAAATTTCAACAAAAGTGGCTAGAAAACGAGGAATTCAGGACATTGCTGCAGCCTGTCAACAATCCTTTGACTCTATATATATGACCTATGACTCACTATTTATATATATATATATATATGAAAGTCATAGCTACTTGTTGGCTGCATTAAAATTATTTCTAAGAGCATTAAAAGAGCATTAAAAAGCATTAAATTAGAGTTACTCATTCCTATATAAACACTATAACAATGTCAACATCCTGCAGGAGTTCAAGTGTCCCATCAGGTGGTGAGGTACAAAACAATCCATAACTCTGTCTTATATTATATTTTTATGATATAATGCTTGCAGCTCTAGTGATGAACTCACTATTAGACACTGGTTTTATTTTGGTCTATTCTTTCTCAGTAGAGGAAATACATTAACATCCACTAACCTTGACTAATCAGCTAAAATAGACGATGAAATACATGGAAAATATGGTATGACTTCTGTGAAGCGGCTGATACATAACTGCTGCAGTGGAGCTCGTCCAGTGTATGCAATAAATAAATTAGCCGGCTCTACCAAGGCACAGACTAGTTGCTTGACTGCACCGTCCTGTTTATCACTTAACGCCAAAATAAACTTCACTGTTACAGTGAATTAACTGACCTGTCCAGCAGAAAACCTGCAACCTCCCCTTCTGTTTTTAAGCTCCGCCCTCTAATGAATTATAGACTATGGTTTTCTGCATGCATTTATGAACAGCTTATTCTAAGCTATAGGATCCAAGGTTTAAATAGTTTTCAAATTTTCTACTCTTTTTATTTACTTTTGACATCTTTTTTTCAATTCTATTTTGGTTTTATTTCGTTTTTAGTATTTGCAAGCTATTTTAGTTGTATTTAATTTTCTAAAATGCTTTGTTTCAGTGTCATTTTTATATATTTTTGGTATTTTATTTAATATGATCTACATACCCAAGGTAAGAAAAAAAAAGAACACAATGTAAAAAAATGAAAATAGCACCTGGAAACTAAACCTGATATAGATACATTATGATTAAGAGACAATCATTAAGCAACTAAGCACATTCTCCCTTAAAATGTTGTTAGTTTTAATTATTTTTGTCAAACCTTTTTTACAAGGTTGCTACTTGTTATTTTTATTTCAGTTAATAAAAAGGTTTTCATAATTTTAGTTTTCATTATTTCTTAAGTTTGAATTAATAATAACATATGATAGGAACACTTTCGATTTTATGGGTATTGTAATTATTCTTTAGCTGAAAGGTATGTATTTATGAAATTAGTACAAGTTTTTTGCAAATCAAAAGCCAAATTATTTACACTCTCTCCTTTTAAAATTGGTAATTATTATTAATATATTATCTTAATCCAATATTAAGATGTAATCCAAGTATATTGCTGCGTTTGCTGTAAATTAACAGTTTTAATAAAAGATTTTTCCTTTATCAAAAAATAATAAATTGCATAATTCCTCTTGAAGGGTGAAATATGTTATCTCTTCTCCAAGAGATTTCTTCAGTCTGAGAAGTTACAGGTAAACAGTACCTTCACATAGTGGATCAAAAATGTCTAACGCCGTCACTCAAAATCATCAGCTTAATTACCCCATTTTTATTTTATTATTCGCATTTTCAGGATTAATTTCTTAATTTTAAGAATTTTTTTCCTGTATACCACTCTCTTCTCCTCTCAACCCCATCAGGAATTTGTCCACATGATTGATGAAGCCTGCGTGTAACTATCCAGACTCATAGATTGAGATCAATCCAACAGGCTTTCCAAGAAATAACAATCTTCTTGTTCTGTACAAAATCAGCTTCATGGCTCTTCCTCGCATGCTTTTGTTCCAGCTGTTTCCCTGAAGACCACCTGATGTCTCCTCTCAACTCCAGCGATGCTGACTATTCTCATACTCTCACGTGCTGGACACTCTTTATTTGATTGCAAAACAATGCTGTTAATAAAAAAAAGTCTATTCCGGGATTTCTGCTATCCTACTTGTCAGCAAAGTGTTGCCAAAACAATTTTGATATTGAATGAAAAAGCAGAAAAAACTGCTGCATCTTTTGAGCCGATGACAAGAGCTATTTTGTTGCTCATCTGACTTGAACAATTAAACCACATTTTTCCAACGTTGGGTTCTTTATTTTGTGTTTAAAACACAAAACAAAACAAAAAAAAACTGCTAGAAGGGGGAATCTGCCCAAGATGCATTGCAGTTACTAAAACAAACTAATGGATCATTGTATTTATTTCTCAAATTGTCCATGTTCAGCTATGATGATTAGCTATGTTTGACTAATCTAAGTTATTATTTGTATCTTGATCATAATGATCAAATAAAAATAATGATAAAATTTAATGAAAATATCTTTGTTCTTTCATTAGAGCATGAACAGCGACTGCGAGGGTCAGAGCAACATTAGAAACTCTCCAGAGAACCGTCTGCTGATAAAGAGGATGCTCATAAAGTGTGCAGATGTGGCGAACCCCTGCAGGCCTATTGAGCTGTGCATCGAGTGGGCAGGCCGAATCTCGGAGGAATACTTCGCCCAGGTAACGAGGAAACTGGATTAACTTAGCAAAGCTTTTTAAAAGCATGAACAATAACTGTTTTTGTAAAGGGAGATTCGGCCATTTGTTTAGTGTCACCAATCACATAGTTTTGTGTTGAAACTGTTTATTTTCTTGCTTGCTTTGTCTTTTCCTGCAGACGGATGAGGAGAAGCGACAGGGGCTGCCCGTGGTGATGCCTGTGTTTGACAGGAACACCTGCAGCGTGCCTAAGTCTCAGATCTCGTTCATAGACTACTTCATCACAGATATGTTTGACGCCTGGGATGGTAAGATTTACATTTTTATTCAATTATTTTTTCAGTTTTTTGTATTTACAGGGGTTTAATTTCCTTTTTAATAGGAATGTGGTTTCTTTGAAATATTTCCAAATGAATGGTTAAGCCCTGCTTACTGGCCAGTCTCGTAGACTGAGATCAAGCCAAATGCCTTTCCAAGAAATAAACATCTTCTTGTTCTGGACAAAGTCAGCTTCATGGCTCCTTTTAACATGGTTTTGTTCCAGCTGTTTCCCTGAAGACCATCTGATCGCTTCTCTCAGTTCCAGCTACACTGACTTGTTTCACATTGTCATGTGCTTAAAGTGCTTTGCTTCGTGTTTCATTCTTGAAAGTCGTATAAAAATCTTATTATAACCATGTCATTTCCAGAAAGTGGTTTCTTTGTTTGGCAAAATTCAATCTATAATAAAAACTGGTTCTGCTCTGGTTTAAGACGACAAGGTAGAACAGGGTTTAAAAACCTTTTCAAACTGATTATAATTTTCTGTCATACCTTTCCTGCTGTTTAAAATCCCTTTCAGTAACAAGATAGAGAAGAGAAACACTTCCCTTCCCCCACCAGCTGCCTTTAACTTTAAGGGCAGATTATATTTCTGCAACTGCACACATCTGGTCGCGAACCAGTTTTGCTGCTATGCTTCTGCACTGGCAGTTTCCCGCCAAAGCGGAAGGGGGAGCCTATTCAAGAACTCCGGGATGGTCACGAGAACTTTGGCGGCGCCGGCGGGAGTGTTTATCTTCCAAAACAACAATGGCGCGTCTGCAAGATATCACGGTCGCGGAGACGGATCTAGAGTTGCTAGACATCAAAGAGAAACAGGTTCTGCTATTAGAGTTGGTAAAAAGTAAGATTAACCTTTTGTCGTAGTTGTTCCTCGGTTTGCGCCCCGGTAACAAATTGAGAAGGACGACCAAACAGACGGCTGGAAAGGCATACCAAGGACCAATCACAGCTGCTTTTTGTCTGCACACTTCCGCTTGAGGTCTGCACTGCTTTGCGACCGTCTGAGGCTTAAGGCTGATTTATACTTCGAAATCAGGTCCCCTGCGTAGGTGTCGCAGTGAACAAAAAGACATCCCCGCCCCCTCCGCACTGCACCTCTCCCTAATTGTGACTGACCGCAGACAGTGCCGCAGACAGGAGGCCGGCTTGTTTTGTTTTTATGAACGAAATTGCAGAAAACAACTTGTGAAGTTCGACGAGCTAGAAGGTCGAGGTGCACGAGAACACCGGGACCCTTTTTCCACCTGGATCCCCGCACTTTTTCGCTGTTATGTCCCTCAGTTGGCGAACTAAACTCGCCCCCACTTCCTCATCACCTCGGCCGTATCTAGACCCACAGCGTATAGCACAGACCACACTTCGATATTGAGCATAAATCAAAAATGTCTGCGTCAAGCCCTTTAGTCAGGATTTTTTTGAGGTGCGCACAACGGTTGCAGAACCTCTGCACGGGGGCTGTGACACAGAGACAGATTTGACGGTTGCAGAGGCTATGCGTCAGAAGCATAAATTGGCCTTTAGTCAACTATAAATGTTAGCCCAATGAGAGGAGTTTGCCCTAAAAGCTTCCAATAGGAAAAGATTTAACATTTGGGTATGGTTAAAATGAAAACAAAACATATTTATGGCTTCTATAACATAAATACCTAGGTAAAAAGCATTCTAATGAAAACAGGCAACGTGTTACAGGAGTTAGCTTGTCAGTCAGTAAAACAAACAACCTACAGAAGACTTTCTATTGAGAATGCTAACTTAGCTTATTACAAGCTAACATTAGCTTGTCTTGGTTGTACAAAAAAGGATTAAACTTACTAAGAAAAAGCACTAGATGTAGAGAAAACAAACCATTTGATGTCAATTTGATGTGATCCTACACTCAGTCTCCACAGTGATAATTAAGCTAGCTGCTGTATATTTTATTCATATTTACCCATTTGCTTTGCTTCAAATATTCATTACTTTACAAAGTGAATTATCTTAGTCTAGATAAGAAAAGATAAATTCAAGTGACGAAATAACTGCACAGAAATCCTGGTATTTCTTAAATATCTCGCTCAGGTCCAGCTCCGCTGCTACCAGACTATTTTTTTTATTAGTATTGGATGGTAAAGAAAACTGATGTTATTGCACATATTTTGGAAGATGATTAAAGAAACAGAATCTGTTCTCTTTCATATAAACCTGTTTAATCAAAGCAATAACGAAATGCATCAAATTGGTCGGTTATTTATTATTTAAACATGTTGGAAGTTGAGATTTATTTCTCCATTTATTTGGAGGGAGATTCTCAGCACTGACAGAAAAATCTTTGCTATCAGTGATAAAACATTCATCCCAAAGTTAAGATCAAATGTTTAGAGTATGGTTGTAGTGTTACGTGCAGCAGATTAGCAAAAAAAAATTTTTTTAAGATTTTAATTTGGTAATTTTTCACTTTTTATGTCTGTTAAAAAAGAACAAAGCTGTAATATGTTCAAAAATTTGAAAGTGATAAAATCTGATCTCAATATTTGAACACTATTCAAAATGAGGGTGCCTCAAAAGTGAAATCATGCATCAGGACGTCACAGGATTTTATTATTCACACGTCACAATCAGGGTTCATGCTGTTTGGGAACAATTAGACTCAAAACACATACAGGTTTAATGTTTTCAGAGAGGGAAAAACAGGCAGAAGATCAACATCTACATTTTTTATATGCAAAAGAGTTAGTTAAGCATAAGCAGTTGAACCAAAGAGTTGTGAAAAAACCTTATTAACCATAAACGAGAATTTTTACAAAATTAGGACAAAGATTAGGACATAAACACAATAAAAATGATGTTATGAACAAAAAATGTTAAAAAGAACTAATATTATTATCAAGCTAAATTAAAATCAGTAGAAAGGAGAGTATTTAATAGCAATAACTCATTTATTTATTTTCATATCTGAGTTAGTCAGATAATAGCCCTGATCGTTGTCTAAAATTGTTTTTGGCCCTTTCTTTCGGGTAAACACAAAATTATTAATAAGTAATTGTGTTTGATGTTTCTTCTGACAGGAAATAATATTCAAATTTCATAGTGGTCCATTAAGTGCTCCAACAAGAATCTTTGGGCCATAGATTAGGGTGGAATCCAGAATAATCATCAAAATACCAGTGGAAACAGGCAAAAGCTGGTAAATACATGATTATAATAAGCAGCATTTTATCATTGGGATCCCAAGAAATACTTTCCAGTAATTATTAAGAAGGGTATTAATATTTGTTAGTAAATGTAAAAAATATAAAAAGTATAAATATAAATAAATGTAAAATGAGAATAATTTTAAACAGTTTTATAATGCCAAAACTGATAAATGGATCAGTTAATTAATCAGAAGATGTTTAGTCATGGTTGATTGAAAATTCTGTTTAATCCAAATCTGTTTAAATTTATGTGCCCGTTGAGTTTGGATGGACCAGTTACAAATAAAGTCCCTGTTGAAATCTGGGGAAATAGATTGTGTCACTTTTTGGTTACACAAATTGTGCTTTAACAGGAAAATAACTTTTCTAATCCAGATCTGCTAATTTGTGCGCGTGTTTTATCTTAAATCCAAGCACATTATTTTAACCAAGCCTTTAACTAAAAAGAGCTAGATTAGCAAAATATGGAAAAGATCCTTGGATTATCTCCTCATTCCCACTAATTTTCCCTCTTCATATAAGCCCCAAGAGGAAAGTGGCTTAATGTCAGCACAGCTCTGATGTCACGGAAAGACTTCCAATGCTACTGGGAGAAACTCAGAGAGTGTCAAAGAAAGGGGAGTTGGGAAAGTTCTAGCTGGGATATCAGGGAGTATGGGAGGTTATGATCGCTCAATCTGGAGCGGGACCAACACTAGTTCTAAAATCCATTCATACATAAACACGAGACACTTTTCAATTCACTGAGGTCGCTGTCAGTTCATGTCGGGGGTCACAGATACAACATGGGCTATTAGCGAGCCGGAAACGAGGATGTAAACAAGTGAGTGCGAGAACACTGAGAACGCACACATTTGTGCAGCCAGAGGTTTGTGTGTGAGATGGAAAGGCAGGAACACCTCTCAACCTCATCTGAACTTTTATGTGGGAGCAACATGGCAGAGTTAATGAGCGTATTCCTTCTAGGACAACCAAAGCAGAAATGGACGCTGTACCTCTGCGGAGTACGATATTAACTAAAATGCAGCAAAGCTAAAAGGAACAGGGTATTTTATATTTTTTCCTTTTTTTTTGCATAGGATAAAATACATTAATATTAGATATAAATTGTGTATTAAATGAGAGAAAAATCCCCCAAAAAGCCCTGGGTCACTTGTGTGTTATCCACATCTCCCCTGGTTCCACCGGAAGCCTGGAAATACTGATTTCCTCCCTCAAGACCAGAGTCGGAGTCATTAGTCAGGCTGATGTTTTCCCAGGTCAGCAGTAAACAGATTTTATTATCTGTTTTTATGTGTTTTAGCTCATAGTTTAAGCAACATTAAAATTGCAAAAATGCTTTTAATTCCTGAGCTTAATATGAAAAACACACATTTCCACAGTTTCTAAAACAAACTTTTAACTTATGCTGTTAAAGATTCTCAGTCATCCAGGTCATATTCATTCCAAAAAAGTAAAAAAAAAAAAAAACTAGTGGACTTTGTTTTCCAAATTTGAAGAGTTTCGCTCCTCATCCAGGTGGACTCAGGTTCCAGCTCTCAAAAACCTACAACGCAGCAATAGAGCGGATTCTTTTCCGCTATCATTTCAACCCCCATTGCTATGCAGGGGGCCAAAACATCTCGTCTGGTCAGCCAGGCCAACAATGAATCCTAAGGACTCCCCTTTTCAGAGGCATAGGCCAGTATCGGCTATTGCAGGCCAAGAACGACCTCAGCCACTCCCACTTACTAAGGGGTGGACTTTTTTTTCGGTTCAATTAGCATTTTTTTCTAAGCCATAACAAGACTTTTTTGGGCTAATCTATAAAAGCTTGGAACGCAACACTAGTCCAGACATTTTGAATTAAGAAAGCTTCCTAGATGGGAAGCGAAACGTCTTCAATCTCGGAAAAGAAAGTCCAGTGGTTTGGTTTTTTAACTTTTTTGGAACACTTTCTAATTCTAATTACTACTGGTGGCGTAGAGATTAAAGAGCCGTCCTAGAGAGGTTGCATTATAACCACTTCCAACAAGACCCCTGGTGTGTTCAGAACAAACGTGTTCTGGCCCTCAGAGAATCTAATTTACATGCAGTCTGCAGTGGACGGCATTAGTCAGTCAAGAGGTCCTGCAATGCATCTGAGTGTCGGGGTCTCAGAGCATCGGAGTGTCTTAGCATCCTAGCTTCAGGGCTGCACTTTTGCAGCTTGATAGAGAGCACCAAGCAATCAGAAAAGCTAATCCAGGAGTTTTCTGGGAGACACACACTACATGCAAGCTGTGATCACTTCTGCAAAGCTGTCAGCTTAATATGAAAACTGAATAAATACAGAGGGGTTAATCTCCACAAATGTTTGTTCTCTTTTTTTTATGTAAAATAGAGCGAGAGAGTGCATCATTACTCCAGATTGGTCCCTGTGCATTGTTTACACTGCAAAAATTGTAAATCTAATTAAGTCATGTTTTCTTAAAATAAGTGCATTTTTTCTTGAATTGAGGGGGTAAGTGAGACATTTTGCCAATGAAACGAGACAATTTACACTTAAAATAACAAAAAAGAACTGCATTGTCTCATTTCAAATGCATATTATCTAATTAACTTATTCTAAGAGTAAAAATACTCATTCCATTGGCAAACGATTTTATTTTCCTGCTTTAAATTAAGAGTAAATTCACTTAATTTAAGACATTTTCACTTATTTCTAGATCATTTTGCAGTGTAATATGGCAACACACTGGGTGGGTTAAACCCAGAGGACAAATGTCCCTGCTGCAGGACTAAAAAGTGAAATTTCCGTTCCTCAATTCTGCCGATGCAATGTTAACCTGTTTCTTTCCAACTTTCCAAGAGGAGATAGTTTTATTAATTTAACCCAAGAGCACATGTAAACTCATCTAGGAGGTCATGAAGAGGCTAAGAACATCTAAAGCACTGCCAGCTTCACTCGCTTCAGATCAGAACAGCAGCTATCTGAAAACAAAAATCAAGGTTTTGGATTGGTCTATCTAAAGTGCAGACTTCTACCTGACTAAGATGCTATAACATGACCCTAAACAGCTCATTTATCTCTGGAAACTGCATATTAACACTAAAAGCAAGCCATACTGGAAAGAGAAGTTGGTCAAAAAAGAGATGTAAAAGTCCCATAGCCAGCCATTACAAACGCTGATAGCTGCTCAGCATGGCATCACAATTTTTAGGCTTTTTTTGTTTTTATTTGTTTTTCTTACACAGTGCCATGTTAATTAATTCTTCTTTTAAAAATGTTATTTGAATTATGTAAAAATTGTAAATTTTTTATTTGCCAGAGTTGTGATTTTCACATTTTAAATGTGTTCAATGGACTGAAACATTTGGTTATGGGAAAAAAAAACGTAGAACTTACAATGATTTATTTCAGTTTTATTGTTAGGTTGTACGTTTAACCCTAAATATGGATGTTTTCCCCCACAGTAGACGTATTCTAAAGCTGTAAAAGCTTTTTCTTACCTTATATATATATTAAAAGTATCCTGTCAGGTGTACTAAACAATGTTATATTTCTTTTTTGATTTTAGAATCAATCGCCTGTTTAATAAATAAAAAAAACTTTCACTCCTCTATGATTTTCCACAAGTAGACAAACTGTTATTATTCAAATTCCTCATAAAATAGGTAATGCATCTTTCAGCTGGGGCTACTTAGAGCTTTCAGCATGCAGAGCTGTCTACACTGATCTTCATCAGTGTAGATAGAGCATCAACATTGTGTGGCATGAGAATAACTTAGTATGCTAATTTATTTGTAATAAATTCTATCAACATTGTCTGAAAATAGTATCCTGACTCACAAGCTGCATATCTTCCTTTAGGTGATTGACGAAAGCTTCACTTCCTGTTTTGTGTGTTGCAGCTTTTGCCAGCCTTCCTAACCTGATGGAGCACTTATCTGAGAACTACAAGTACTGGAAGAACCTGGACGAGATGAAGTGCAAAAGCCTGCGTCCTCCGCCGCCCTCTTGACCTCCTCTTCTGACGCCCTCTGGCACCTTGAGCAGGGTTGGACTCCAGATGCAGCTCTGCACTAAAACAATTAGTTCAGCTGTGATATACCAAAGCTCTATGCCAGAGCAGCGTACGGCAACAAAAAGGGCCAAATAACGCCTCTGATGCACAAGATAATCGACAGCCGAGCACTGCAGCTCTGTTGTTGTCTCAGCTGGTTTTCATCTGGCAGCCTGGATGAGTGTCTGCTGCCACTTTATGGCAACTCTTTGGAACTGCATGGACCTCATGGTTCACCTGACAATCTGCACCATACAGCGCAACATGCCAGAAACCTGCACTTTAGCAAATCAAGACATTTGGATTTCAAGCTCCATTTTGCTGTTTGCTTTTATAAACTTTTTTTTTTTAAACTGTGTCATTTTATATCTGGTTGTTGTCACAAATGAAACATCAACGATGACAGCGAGAGGCGCTATCGATTGTGCTTCTTAGTAGACCAAACTTCCTATCTTAACTTTTGAAGGTGCTCAGCTGGAATTATTCATCCTAAAGCTGTAAAACAGAGAAAACATTTGTGTGTGGGACCAAACTGTAAGCAACCTCTGCCCCTCGTAGCCCTGAGCAGGAAAAGCATGTTGGAAATGTTTCAAGAGCAGATCTCTTGGGACCGCAGAGCTCAGGGTGTAGTTCCAGCCTTCAGCAGAAGGTCAGCCCAACAGATAAACTTGACAACGAAGGGCTGGACTGTATGTTCTGGGGATTTTAAGGTCGTGTAGCTAAAAAGGAGTCTTAAACATGTCACCGCATAATCTGCAGCTATAGCCTCTTTAAGCCCACCCATCAGTAGCGCACCATGGTGAGGAAGATGGAGATCCTTGTTAAGCCTGAACAAGCAGAATGCACTCTCATTTTTAGCTTTGCGACACTAACTGTAGAAACACTATGTAAGCATCTGCACAGTACATGTCCATGGTTTCATTTGGAGCTATGCTGACATCAGATTTTTATTTTTTTGTCATACAGTGGCCCAAAGTATATAGCACTGCTATTTTAGTAGCTCTGATAAAAGTTTAAAAATAAAAAGCTTTAAAATAAATGTTTTGCGTTTTTAAGCAGCAAACTCACAAAGCAAAAATCTCCAGCTGAGCCATTGAGGGGGGGGGATCCCTTATTAAGAAATGAAATGATGTAAACAAACCACTAGTGCCAGAGCAATTGACTCTCTTGCTGACAATACTTTAAACATCCCCCTATTTCCAACAGAACAGAACCCTTTGAATCGTATCACAAGGCTGAGGTAGATTAAAAAAAAATCTGATATGGCCACAAATGATCCTCAGTGGGCTCACATGAAAAATTTGACATCAAGCAAAAATAAAATATTAAACCTCTTTGCAAGACTATAACAGCTGGATTTCTACTTCAAACATGAAATCCATTGCAAAGGTCAATCATTTATTGTTTTTAACTAGGTGAACCTATTTATTCCCTTTAAATCTAAATCCTGCCCTATATAGAGTACAATAAACAAAGTTTAAAATCTGTTGCTAAAATAAATGCTATTCACATGTGTCATTAAAAAAATAATTTGTTCTATTTTGTCCAAAAGATTTAAATTGTGAAAACAGTTAGAGGGCAGACACAGGAAACAGATCACTGAGGCTTATGATATAAATAGTAAATGATAACATGCCTCCTGTATAATAGAAGTTTTTTCTTTTTAATGTTCTGGTTTCTAAAAGATTTTATGACGTTTTGCACTTTCATAAATCTCCCAGGGCCTTTGGAGGTTAAAGAAAAACCCACAGTTTTTACAGACCCTCTACTGTACTTAACGGTGAGCTTAATGTGTCTCTTTTTCTTTTATTAAATCCCAAACAGTTTCATTTATAATTACTGTAAATACTTGGGGGTGACGAAAAACTTTGAATTTATTGATTTTGTAAAGACAATTTTGGATTTCTCTCAAATTTAGCACGTGAGTTCTTGCTGCTGCTGTAAAGGGTGCATTTATTTCACACATTTGCTCAAAGGGTATAAACATGAGGCTCACTCTGTCCCATAGTTTTTGTTTGCAAATCCCAGATGCAGTAATTATGACCCATTAATAATACAGGCCTAAAAGATATTAGACGACCCTTGTTATCCCCAGTTTCCTGCTTTTGTGGTATTTTACCTGAAGAAATACATTAAACACAATGGAAACGAGTTGTTTCCATAAGTCTAACATAAAAAGACACAAAAAAAGTATTTGGGTATGTATGCCCCCTAGTGGACATAAGGAAGACTGGAGACTTGCACATAAAACCTTAAATTGTGTCTATGATTGGGATGGAAAAATTATTCATTTTTGCTTGTTTCTTTTTAAAAGGCATATGTTTTCTGACCTCTCTCTTGTAAAAGAAAAAAAAAGAGGCAGTGGAAGCCACTAAAGCCACTTGGAGATCTTATGGTGGTGATTATATTTGTGTTCTCAAGTAATCAAGTCATTTTATATCCTTTAGGAGCTGTTATCGGCTCCTGTAGGTTACACACTGCAGTATTAACCAAAGGCACAGAGATTCTCCTCATAGGTGCCTTATATCTCGCATATCTTCACAAACACTGCAGTATTTTTATTTTATTTTTTTGTACCAGCTCCTGCTTTCTGTACAAAGAAAATCACAAGAAAAGCCATAAATGTAGAAAGCGTGTTTTAGGAAACGCATACTTTTGCAATGTTGCTTCATAGTTATCCTGACAGTTTGTCCCACCCTGTAATGAACTGAGGCAACATCTTTTTTGGGCTTTTGTTTTTGGTTGTGAATCACTTTCAGAAAAGAGAAACCCTCTCTGATCCACGTTCACTGTATTTGCTATCACATTATGGATGATCGCGGTTTGAAGAGAACGCCTTAATCCTGTCATTTCTGGAGGGTAATTCGCTTCTGTTATACTGTAAAGCTACCTTATGCCACCTGCTGTTCCTGTAAATACTCAGCCAAAACACCAGCTGTCCTTTGCCTTGCTTTGCTTTTAGCATGTTTCACTGCTTGTTTCTCTTTTGTTCATCATGTCAAAATATACAGTGTCTCATTACTCTGGTCCAGCTTTGTTTATTTCATGGCTGCAATCATCATCCAATCATCATTTCTGCTAGTATCTAAGTAGATTTTTTAGAGAAAGCGATATTTTAACTATTTAATATTCTCACCTAAGACAACCATGCCTTTTCCATTATGGATCAGCAATTTGAATGTGATTTAGTGTCTTTCAGCCTCGCTTTGTGTCTAATGAGGCACAATGAGCTTTGCATTCATCCACAGCATTACTGACCATAAAGAAGCCATTCCTGAGTTTTGCACTGCATATAAAGGAAACCATCATCAAAGAAGAATATATATATATGTAGATTTAAGAAAAATCTATTTTTTAGAAAAGTATTATTATTATTATTGCCCATTACAACTGTACTGTGTGTTTATAAAGATTTTACTGCCTCCTCATGCAGAATAGTTGTGAAAGCTTTACGCTGCAGCTTCCAAAAGTCGGCCATGTTTGTTTATGTTGAAAAGTTTGTGTATTATTTCCTTTTCCCATGTTATGTCTTGTTTTTCGATGTTTTCTGTAAAACAGAAAAACATTGTGTGAAATAATTAAAGTATTATTTAACTAGGTTGTCGCTATGTTACTGGCATCAACATTTGACTCAAAGGGAGTATAACAGTCTAACATAGTAACGTCAAACACGTGCCGCTTTGTTTTTAAAAAGTATAAATATAAAAAATATAACCGCAGATGTCTGGGGGACAGTGATTCGCCTACATGTTATGAATGCTGGTTTATCATAAATGATCAATTATGAACAGTTCAGTTTGTGCCTTCAAGTCGTTGCTCATAGGAAGACGTTACTTGGATATAGACTAACAGAATATCTTCAGAACAGCTCCAAATGACACAAAACTCATATGGGTGAGTAGAACATGATGTAATAATGTAAAATCAAGGGCCAATGTAAAAAAAACAGTGTTCCCCTTTAATAAAGAGTCCCAGAAATTCTGATGCACTACATTAAAAATACAACATGTGATTGAAATGTAAATGTTTTACAGCCAAGGAAAATAACAAACATAGTTTTTTAGTACAAAGGGTTCATGCAATTTATTATAAACTAATACTACCAAGAACAGTTTGTAGTCGCCCTCTTGAGGTGGAATTGATAAACACAGCTGTTTGTTACTACTACAGTAAGACTGCCCAACCTCTCTACATACATATTTGCGGCGTACATTTAAATAGTTCACAAGAATAGGAAATGAAAAAATATATATTTCTCACCATAAAGGCTTCAAATACCCAATTTTAAATGAAACAATTCTACCAGGAACAGTTCGTAGTCTCCCTCTTGTGGTCACATAAGGAACTACAACTGTTTGTGATTAGTAAGAATGAGGTTATCATTAAAGTATCTTATGAATTTGTCTTTTAAATTTTTTTTTAAGAAAATACACCTACAGCAAATATATCTACCAAAAATATGAAAATAATCCTTTAGTATAATAAATGTAATTTATGGCTATTTTCTTTCAGTCTTTTCCATTATAAAGGCTTCAACTAACTGATTTTAAAGAAAACAAAAATATCAAGAACGGTTCAGAGTCTCCCTCTGGTGGTCGAAGTGAGAAACTACGACTATTTGTGATTAATAAGAATGAGTCATAATTTATTGTCATGATTTTTGTTTCAAATGTATTCATAGTAAATATAGCAAATATATCTGTATTAAATCTAAATCTAATAGAATAATATAATACATCTAATATATGGACCTTTTTTCAGTATTTGCATTTTTAAAACAAACGTAGTTAAAATGTGAATCCTATGGTTGTGACACTAAAGACCAATATAAAAAAGAATTGCCAACTTTTAAAAGTGATTTGATGAGCCACGTTTTAGTTAGTTAGTTAGTCTTAGGAGGTAGAATCTCAACTCCAATTGTATGAATAATAACATAACATACAAGAAAGTAATTGCTCATGATAAACTACATTTAGTAAGAGGACAGTAAAATGTTCAAATTTTTTTATATAGAAAAATATAAAAAAAAAAACTCAGTTCTATGCGTGTTTAAATATATCTCAAGTATATAAACATATAAAGCCTTTGTAATACAAAGGCTTCAATTTATTCATTTCATAGGAACAAATTCTACCAAAAACAGTTTCTTTACGCCCTCTTGTGGTGAAAATATGCAACTACAATTTGTTATGAAGAATACCAAAATATTAGTTAATAAAGTCCCAAAAAATGTTGATGGACCACATTAAAAAGTCAACATGTGATAGAAATGTAAAGTGGCGACAGAAAAATACCAAACATACTTTTGTAGTACAAAGGTTTCAAGTATTTATAATAAAGCAATACTACTAACAGCTTATAGTCGCCCTCTTGTGGTGGAAGTGAGAAACACAGCTGTTTGTGACTACTACCATAAGGCCTATCCACCATTCTACATATTTGCGGTGTACATTTAAATATTTTATAGCAATAGGAAATAAATAATGAAATAAAGTGAAAAGATATTTCACTTTAATATACGTTTTACATGAAACAATTCTACCAAGAACAGTTCAGTCTCCCTCTTGTGTTCAAAAAAGGGAACTACAATTGTTTGTGATGAGTAAGAATGAGGAATCATTTGTCATCATTGAAGTATCTAAAGAATTAGTTTCTTGATTTTTTTCCCCCAATAGTAAATATATCCACAATGAAGTAATATAATAAATTTAATTTATGGAAATTTCTTTCTAATATTTTTCACAATAAAGGTTTCAATAAACACATTTTGAATAAAACAATTTTCTACGATGAAAAGTTTGTAGTCTCCCTCTTGTGAGGAAGATGAGGAATGAGGAACTACGACTGTTTGTGTTTAGAATGAGGAATGATTTACTGTCCTCATTAAACAAAAATCCTAAAATCATTTCAACTCCAATTGAGGGAATGGTAATATATACAAGAAAATAAATATACATAATGAATTAAATTTAATTAGAGAAATATAAGAAACACAATAACACAATTCCAGTGTAGTCCTGTTTCTCTGACTGTGATTGGCTGGATGTGCTCTCTTCATCCTCTGACATGGGAGTTGGGTCGGAGCTCGTCTGCCTGGCTGTGTGTTTCCTGGGTGGAGCCGCCTTTTACAGCTGCTTTTTATATCTCTGCTTCTGTCTCCTTGAACCCCAGTCGGCCTCGGCAGATGGCCGCTCACACTGAGCCTGGTTCTGCTGGAGGTTTCTTCCTGTTAAAAGGGAGTTTTTCCACTCCACTTTCGCTGCAAGCATGCTTACTGTGCAATCAACTGGTTTTCCTTAGATGGAAAAGTTTGAATCAATTTGACTGTAGGATCTGGTGAACTGTAAAGTGCCTTTAGATGACATATTGTGAATTGGCACTACATGAATAAACTGAATTGAATTGATAAAAAGGTTTTCACATTTGCTGCTGTAGGGAAATTTAAAAATCTGTTATATGCACTTTATTCATCACCATACCTGCTCCCGGCGGTGTACATACCTGGACCAGTTTGCAGAGGACGAGCATCTCGTTCCCTTTCAGAGTTACTGGCTAGCTTTCCCTTTGTTCTTTTGATGTTCGTGTCACGTCGTTCTCTAAAATAAACATGCCTAATATAACAAAAAACAAACTTTTCAACTGATGTTCTCATTCTAAGAAATTATGAAGGTGTTCCTACTTGTCAGAGGGTTGAATTTATTATTTTTTGAACTACTTTAGTACAAACCACAGGGTTAAAAATCGCCCCTGGTCTGGACTTTGAACATCTTTGGTTTGGAAAAGAGGCTCTGGAGCAGGTCCAGGTAAACAGGACAGAGATTTTTATCAGATTTTATCAGAAGTTTTATTCCTATAAATCTGAATGGAAAGGCCAGTATCCAGTCATGCTGAAAAAAAAATATTTATTTCACAAATAAACAGATGGGCAATATCACAATTACAGTACATCACAGTTGATATGGCAGCTTTTTGGGGCAAATGGTTGCATTTATTAAATTAGAACAATTTAGGAGGATTGTGGCGTCTGTCTGTGATTCCTCCCAAAACACTTTAACGACAAATGAACTGGGTGGAGAGATTTCTAGCTGCAGCCCGTACGGCCTGCACCAGTGTAAGCCTTAAAAAATAAAAAAAAACGTATCATGAATTTAATTGGTAGGAGTTTTGTCACATAATACTGGGCTTAAGTAGAAAAGAAAATGTGAAATTTCAGGAAATCACAGTAAGGACATTTTTTAGGACCAGTTTCAAAGATATCAAACACTGATAGAAAAGGTGAAACTAAACCTGTTTGTTCATTTTACCAAACATAGAAAATAATTAGTTGAGTCTTCTGATATCTCAGTAACAATACTCTTTACGCCCTCCTGAGTACAGGCAGCGGGTGAAACATCAAAGGCCTCCGTTCTCCTCCAGTTTCTGGAAGAGCGCCTGGCTGCGCAGACGGGACTGTCTCTCCCCGTCCTTCCACAGAATCAGCAGGTGGTCCGTAGAGCACGTCACCAAGCCTTTCTCCTTAAAGCTCAGGAACATCTGAAAGTAAAAGTCCAGACATATAAAGATACAGAACATCTATTTTATCTGAACGTCTTTTCATTCATACCTGGATCGCTCCAGAGTGTCCGATCAGATCTCCGATCAGCTCCAGTGTCTTCAGGTTGGGAATTTCCAGGACCTTCTTCGCCTGAGGCCCGGGTTGTTTGCTTGACCGTCCAAAAGACCACATCCCAAAGAACCCTGTGAAAACACAGCTTTTAAGAACATTTTGCTTATTTATTACAGCTTTATTAGGAATTATCATCTGCATTTGTACCGATTCCCTAAATTCCCTTGATGCTCCTACATCAGATCCAGTTAACAGGTTCATGTTGACAACAGCTTAAGAGGACAACCTGACAAACTCCTCACCTATTGTTAGAAATATTTTATTTATACTCCGCTTGTGTTTCATGGGTTGTGTACTAATGAACTATTATGATGTATAATGTGTGATCCATCATTTATAAACTCTCGCTAAAGATCGTTCCAGATTAAGGTCATGCAACGGACGGGTTGTGAAAGAGGCCTGAACATCCTCTATCACATGTTTCTTCTAAACATGTGTTCTTGGAACAAGTTCTTGTAAAAAAAACCACATGCTTTGTTTTAACATATGTGCTGAGGTTTAAAGTAAGATCATTTTGTTTCCCTTTCCTTTAGTTAAACCTCAGCTTGTGTAATTAGGGACATCCCCCGACTTTAATAAATAGTGAGGAGAAAGCTGAAGACCCGGCAGAGTGGGTTGGAGATTTGTAAACTCTCTTCCTACTCTCCTCGCTAGTAAAACTAAATTAATTGTCTCTGTGCTTTCTTTTTATCCCTGTATGTATGTATGATGTTTAGGTGCTTAGACCTGACACCTATGGAGCACGAAAGCTTTAAAAATACATTTTAAAAATAAAATAAATCAATAAAATACAGAACACATAAATGTTGAAATTATGATGGAGTATTAGGGCCAGACTAAAGAGAACTTTGTTTTTGACTGGTTGTAATATTATGAGAATAAAGCAGTAGAATTACAAAGATAAAGTCATTATAATGTGAGAATAAAAAGATAACATTGTTAAGTTGTAATATTACAAGATTAAATGCGTAATTTGGTGAGAAAAAAATAATTATTTAATGGGAACTCTGGTGAGGTCATCCCCTGCACTAAAATAAGGACTATTGAGAATCTTGTGAAGTTATACTAAAACACTTAAACTGCCAAAATAATTCTGATTTTAGTATTATGGCGCTAAGAGTTTGTACCAAATATCTAAAAAAGCTAACATCTACTACCAGCTGCCATAAACAGTAGCTGAAAATCCCTGAGAGGCTGGCCGGCCTGAGGCAGCTGCTGCTGGGGATGTCCAGCCGCCGGTATGTGGGGTTCTGTGCAGCTGCCACAGCAAAATAATATTTTAAGGTAGGATCATAATCTTGATGAAATGACGGCACAATGTTTGAGGTGGATTTTCTCACTTAAAAATATATTTTTTTTTACCAACTTATCACAGCAAATATAGCAAAGCCGCTCTGCCATTCAATACAGAAGTAAAAGCCTCAGACGTATCTGTTCACGCTTTACTTGACCTTTGACCTTCATGTAGACAAGCATAGCATTGCATAATACTCGCATTTAGTTCATTCATAATTTAAATGTAACATTTATTGTTTTTATATTACAAATTCAAGTATATTTGTATTAATGATTCATTAATTTATTTAATTTTGAGCAATTTTGTGCCCCATACTACACCCCCACCCCGTGAACCATGTGTCTGGCTGAGTGTGGGTTCACCTGCAGATGCTGGTTCAGCAGCCAGAGGTAAATCTTGGATCTCCCACATCCTCACGCTGCCGTCTTCAGAGCACGACAGCAGCTCACTGGAACAAAGATGGCGTCACACAGAGCTGGAGTTTTATTCTAGTCTTCAACTATTTTGAAGATGGTTGAAGCATTTTTTGGACAATTTGTAGCATCCCTGCAAACTATGGTGCCATTTAGCTGTTCCAGCTGAATTTTACTTTTGGTCAATCAGAAGGACTATAAACAATATTAGAAAAGCACAGCTGAACATTCATTACATTAAGAGTGTGTCTAAAGAGTTGGAGACACCAGGTTAGTGAAGGTTTTTAACCAATTTGTTTTTTGCAGATTTTCTTTTATGACAAACAAAAGGCCTTTTACGGGGGGCTAGACTTTCAACATCCATGAAAAACAGATTTTGTTAACTGAAATAAAATGTTTTTATTATCCATTATTTAAAAAAACAAAAATGTAAAAGGTTTGAATCAGATTTTTTGCAGCAATGCTTCTAATCTACAGAAAAAGTTGGGGCCAATGGCACCCTCATGTGGCTATAAAGTATATTACATCTTGCTATAATAAATGTGTATAGAAATGTTTGCACAGATCATATCTTTCAATGCAACAACTCTATAGATGATATAGACATACATAAATTAGCTTGAGCTTGTATAAGAGTTTTTATTACATATAATTTCCACATGAGGATAATGTTAACATGATGATAATTACTGTTGTTTTTCATTATCATCATTATTATTAT